AAGCTTACATTTTTTGCTCTCTCCCCCAGTCACGCTTGGGAGCACCTCAAGGCAGAATGACTTTAGATGGTTATACATTTGCATAATGGCTTTGTTTTTCTGAGTTTAAAAAATCCCAACCTTTGTTAAATCTACATCTAGACCTTGGTTTCAGTCATTATAGTCTCTGTAAATAGGGCATGAACAGAAACATAAAAAATAATTTATTTTCTATTATTTGGAATAGAGCATCAATTGATCTGTAATAAATTATTTTCAAGTGTTGGCATCGTTATCCAAGAAGTCTGCGAATGGTCATTCTGGAATATTCAAAACCAGTGAGACCACCCCGGGTAAATGGCAGAAAGGGTCAGGGGAGAGCTAGTTGAATATAATGTATTTTTTTGTTTGTTTTTGGAGAGCAAGAAAATCTGTGACAGGGGACTAGCAAACTGATTAATATTTTGGAACTTACATGTAAAAAAGCTTCCCTCTCTGAGTCAGATCTAGTTTTGGATTTTATATTTCTATGACATGGGGGACTCAAGTGGCCAATAAAATTTCCCATGATCCTGCTAGCTTATGTCTTAACTTATATTACTTCAGGTCTTTTAGTGGCTGAGCTGTGGGATGAACAGGTTTTGGTTCTTGTACCATAAACTTACATTTTCTAAAAGTCCTCTCCTCTTTGATTTTAAGGGTGTGTGACTACGGTCTGAGATTAAGTTTCAGACATCAAGTATTCATCTTTTTTGAAAGTGAACTTAAACCAGACATAAAATATCTAATACATATTTCCATTATTTTACACTAGCCTCCTTTAGGATGAAAATATCCAGAATGTGGTCTTTTCTGGAGGCACCATTTTCCCAAATGCCCTGTTCTTTGAATGGGGCTGTTGACAAATATGGGCCATGAGAACACATCGACTGTTAATGACTTGTAGGAGTGACTCAGGAGAAAATTTGCTATAACATGTGAAGGTCACTTATGGACTTTAAATTCCACAATGTTAAAAAAAAAAAGCCCCTTTTAGGCTTATAACACTAACTCAGAGGAAAATCACTCAGTTTTCATAGGTCAAAATAATTTGTTACTAGCTGTGGTCAGGGCATTTAACCAAAGTGTTCTACAAGATGTTTTAAAAGGTTATTTTGTGTGATAATTGCTTTGTCCATCATCTCAAAATATTTTTAGTACTTTGAATGGTTTAGTTAATGTTCAAGGACTCATTTTTCCTGCTCTAGTCTATTTTAATGTTACATCTCTTCCTTTCTTTTATCCCATCACATCCAACTCATCAACAAGATGATTCTGTTTCTAAAATATGACTAGCATAATGTGCTTTTCTTTGTCTTCACTTATCTCTGAAGTTCAAATTCTCATCCTTTCTCCCTTGTACTCCTGTGGCGGCATCCTAACAGAGCTCCTTACCTCCGCCTACCCCTGCCCCCTCCATTTCCACACAGCAGCAGAGTACTCCTTAAAAATGAAAAACAAAACAAAAAAAAATCCACAACAAAAAATTATTGTGTTAGACTTTTGAGTAAAACCATTCCCTCTCAGAACGATTCTGTCAGACAGTCTTACAAAGCTGTTTAAGAAAACAGGGAGGTGTTCTAGAAAACAAGAATGGCCATCACCATGTCCTGTTCCCTCTAATGTATTTAACCAGACTGTTGTTACTCACCTTAGGCTGGTGGAGTCACCCCGCATCGACTGCAGAGGGCGCTGTGCACATCTGTACAAGGGCATCTGTGTTTATGCACCACCTAGGCTGCTTGGACTGAGTTTATTAACAACAATCACCCTTTTATGGTTTACTTGTTAAACTGTCAACTCCAAAAAGGTTGAGATAGACTATGTTTGAGTGAGTCAGGCCATGTCAGTGTGAGGAAGACATTCCCTGACATTTTAATTTTCCCTCAAATTTCAGTATAGTAGAAATCTTAGTATGTCCATTTGTTGGCCCTCTCTCCATAGCCAGTCCAGAGATGTCTCTTGACAACTCAATTCCTTCCTTTAGCTAGTTTGCATAGTTGCAGCGAGGGGGCTGCCACATCTGTAACACTGGGAAATCTATTTCTGGAAAAATACTTAAAAGTAAGGATAATTTCCAGATTGGAATGAGTGGTAGGCAGCTGGGCATAATACAAAAAGCATTGAATTTAGGGTTTTCTAAGCTATAGAATGGGCATAATTATGTCTTCTTTAAAGGGCTGTTGTAAAGATTATTGAACGAGATAAATGTCTGTGGAAGTATCTTGACAATTGCCTGACCATTGCTGAAGAAGTATTGGTTGTATGTGTATGGCCATAGAAAATTCAAAAAGAGCTGTAGGTAAAAACTAATATATTATATTTTTTACTTCTAAACACTATATAACCTTATTACCTGGATCAGCAAAGGAAAGTCCAAACTGAAACTTCCCAAATGTTTCTCTCTTATTTTCATAGAGAAGAGATAGTCTTCTTGCCAATAACTGGAGAGGAGAAAGAGGTGGAAATGGTTATGACAAGGATCCCTGACTGAGTTTGCTGAAGGATGGAGGGGTTATAAGCAGAGCCTGCCAGGAAGTGAGCCCTGTTTTTCCTGATCCTTAACAGTGTCAAGAGATGTTATTTACTTCCCTTGGGGCCTGCCTTAATTTCTGTTGTTTTTTTTTTCTGTGCAAGTTGAAATAAGACCTTTCCCTTGCTTTAAACCCCTTACAGGTAGAATGAAATATTAACCAAAGTCTTGCAACACTTAGAGAAGCATTTATTCAATAAAACAGCTGAATCTTGGTAAGAAAAGTGAACTTTGCGGCATCCTAACTGGCCTTATTCCTACCCCCTTCTCCCCAGCTCCACATTAGCCTTGAAAACCAGCAGCCCTACAACCATGGTATCTGTGGAAACCAGCAGACTAGCATTTATATGAAAATGTTCTAAAGAGGCAAAATACATAGGGACAGAAAGTAGACAAGTGGACTCCAGGGCTGAAGGGAGAGGGGACCAAGGAGTGACTACTAATGGGAATGGGATTTCTTTTTGGAGTGATAAAAATATTCTAAAATTTGTTAGTGGTGATGGTTACACAACTATGTGAATAAACTAAAAAACATGAAATTGTTCACTTTTAAAGGGGTGAATTTTATGATATTCAAACAATATTTCAATCAAGTTGTTACAAAACAAACAAACAAACAAATAAGCAAACGAACAAACAGAAAGGTTAGAAAAGTTTATTTCCATCACTGGATTGTGGTCTCTCTGAGGGCAGGAAAGAAATATTGTTAATCTGGGTTACTCTAAAGTTAGTACAGTGCAAGGATAGTTTTTCATATTTTCTTTTTACTATAGTTTTTATTTTTACTATGCATAATCTCCCAAACATAAGAATGTGAAAAATATTCGAGAGAGACTTACCTATCTTGGATATAATTTTTTTGGCAAAGTAATGATTATTATACTTGTGTTATAACATGTCTTATTGCTATCTAATATTCAGTTTGATTGATTTACACCAAGATGGCTTTTGAAAAGAAAAGGAATGTGGGTGTAAGTCTCATTCTCTGTTATTGTATAGTTTAGAAATTCCTAAATTTGAATGCAGTGATTCGCAACCCCCTCTGTGTATGACAACCTCCTTGAGAGCTTTTAAAAATACCGAGCCTAGGCCCCAACCCCAATTCTGAGTTGAGAACCACCGCTCAGGTGAAGGTAGGTGTCAATAGAAAATCCTACATGTGGTGTGATTATTGTGAGCCTTTTAGAGAACGTGTTGTAGATCAGTGGTTTTCCAAATTTAATGTGCATAATAATCCACTGAAAATAAAATGCAAATTCTGCATCAATAGGCCTGAGACGGGGCCCTGAGATCCCGCCTTCTAAAAGCTCTCTAGTGGGATCACTTTGTAAGGTATGTGATTGTCTAACCACTATGCTATACCCCTGAAACTAATACAAAATAATTTTGAATGTAAACTATAACTGAAAAATAAAATTAAAAAAATAAAGAAAAATAGTTTGCAATAAAAAGATAAATAAAGGTTTCCTAGTGATGCCCAGCTGATGGTCTCCAAACCACATTTACAGTGGGGAGGGTGTATGCTATATTTTAAAATATGCAGCAGTGGAAGCATGGTTAGTAAGGAGAAAAATGAAATAAAGTAGTTATCTTATTAGACAAAGGGATTGTTGAAGAGTAGGAAGCATATAATTTCTTAGACATTAACTTTCATCTGGTGAGGATTTCCATTGATTTGATTTTCATTTAATGTTTGGTCCAACTAGTTCAGGTCGATTTCTCATTTTTCTGGGAAGGTTCTTTTCATTTCATCCACAGGACATAAAATACAGGCTGTTACAGAGTTTGCATGGTTTCTTTATATGTTGTCCCGAATGTCAGGAATGATAGAATCTAGTGAGGAAATATGAACAGTATACATTTTTTAATTTGATATTACTGACATTTTAAAAATATATATTTTTATTGATTTTTTTAGAGAGAGAGGAAAGGGAAGGGAGAGAGAAATATTGATGAGAGACAACATCAATGGCTGCCTCCTGTCCCCTCACTGGGGATCGGGCCCTCAACCTAGGCATGTGCCCTGATTGGGAGTCAAACCGGTGGCCTCTTGGTGCATGGGTCAACGCTCAACTACTGAGTTACACTGGCTGGGAGACATTATTGACATTTTTGTGCTAGGTATTGTGTAGGGTTCTGGGGTTATAGGAATTAATAAAGCACAGTCCCTGCTCCTAAGAAATTTGTAATCTAGTAAGAATGGGGAGGCATGTGGAGATGGATTTGTGAACAGCTAACTACAAGAAAGAAGGAAGGAGATGTTAAATAGAAGTTCATAGAAGTAATGTGCTATGGAAGAGGGAATTAATTTCACCCAAGGAAAGACTTCATTAACATCTTGACATCTAGGGTTTTGGAATGGCTCCTTCAAAAAGTTCTATTTTCCAGTTTCTTAACTGTTCACAGTCTGAACTCATCTGAGAATAACTCACTAAATCACAGGCCAATTTTAGGAACCTCTTAGAACTTTCTTCAAGGCATCCTTCATTTCTTTATTCCTCAGGCTGTAGATCATGGGGTTGAAAAAAGGGGTCAAAACTGAGTAGAACAAAGTGGTGAACTTCTGCATGCTCTCTGCTTGTCCTGCCCCCGGGCTTACATATGTCATCATGACAGAACCATAGAATAAAAACACAACAGCCAGGTGTGAGGAGCAGGTGGAGAAGGCCTTCTTCCGGCCAGCTACAGAGGGCACCTGCATCACGGCCCTCAGCACCAGGGTGTAGGAGCCAATAATATAGAAAAAGGTGGCAAAGATGAGGAGGGAGCTCATGGTGCCACACATGAGGACAGTCCCTGGAACTGGGACACAGGCTGAAGCCAGGGCCAGCAGAGGACCCAGGTCACACAGAAAGTCATCAATCACATTCGGGCCACAAAATGGTAGCTGGGTGATGAATATCACCGGGATCAGAAACCAGAGGAAACCATACACCCAGCAGAAGATGACCAGTCTGCCGCAGAACTTAACAGTCATGACACTGGGGTAGTGCAGGGGGCGGCAGATGGCCAGGAACCGGTCGTAGGCCATGATGGAGAGAAATAAGCATTCGGTTGTGCCCAGGGAGAAGAAGAAGTAGAGCTGGAGCAGGCACCCAGCGAAGGAGATGGTTTTGGCCTGGGAGAGGAAGTTGGCCAGCATGTTGGGCACATCCGAGTTGACGTAGCAGATCTCCAGGAAGGAGAAGTTGGCCAGCAGAATGTACATCGGGGTGTGGAGCCGGAGGTCCCAGCGCACTGCACACACGATGGCCATGTTGCCAAAGAGGGTCAGCATGTAAGTCACGAGGAAGGTGGAAAAGAGGAAGATCTGTATTTCCCAGCGGCAAGGGAAGCCCAAGAGGACGAACTCCCTCACAGGGTGAGAAAGATTCCTGGCCTCTGAGGTCATTTTCTTCCATCCTGTGAGGATTGCAGCAGAAATTACATATACAAAGGGAATTTAGCCTCCTGACTCCTTCCCAGGAGAGTGAGCATGTTTTCCTGCTCATAGGGGAAGGGGCCCAGACCAGTGGTTTCTATTTTTGATTGGGTACCCCAACAATGCAGTTGTTGAGTATACTCTTATATATGACCATTTATTTTTAAACTGTATACAAACCAGTGTCAATTGATATAGTAAATATTGGTAAATATTTTGAATAAAAGCTTTTCTGGAATAAAATAAAAATAGGAATTCAGATATTTCCTTTCCGCATCCTTCATTGGGTTGCCTGGTACACTCGACTTTGAAGAACATTGGTCTGGACAATACAGATAGGCGGCCGGCTAAAGCTAAATCGAGATGCAAACTTTGACATGGGCAATTCAAGTCTAAAACAATTAGACTCGACAAATATAATGAGCAAAACAGTATAAGGAGGGAGGAAGGGAGCAAGGAGCTTGGTAGCCAGATACGAAAATAACTAAAGTAACTTTAAGCAAGTTACAATTTGGCTACATTAAATGACCAATATTAGTATCTATTCACTCTCTGTAAGAGAGTGTAGTACACGGGCTCCAGACTTTGATATTATCAGAATCATATGGAGGAACCTTTGAAGGGTGTAGATTTCTGGGCTCCAGCTCGGGTTTGGGATCCACTGGTATAGCTGAGCATGAGCTTTGAGATTATAGACCTTGTCCCTGCCACTTCCTGGGCAGTATTTCCTCATGGAAGGATTTAAGCTCTGACACTATGTTACTTGCTCTGTAAAATATGAATAATAAAACCTCCATAGCAAGGATGACATGAGAATTGCATAAAATAAAATAATATATGCAAAAGCAGTTTACAAATTATGAAATGCTACAGAAATGTAAATTATTACATACTGTTCAAGGATTATTATGTTATTATTATAATGCTAGATTATAACTACCCCTTGTTAATCTTTATAAATTAAACTGATTTCCAATGCCAAGGATTGTTTTTGCTTGTGAAATTTTAGCTATGTGACAGGCTAAGTACATGTATATATGTGCATGTGTGTATGAATAGAACACTCAGTCCTCTCAGACAGCACCAGGTACAACTCCCTGATAAGCTTCCTTTCAGGACCATTTTTTGCCCATCAAACACACCAGAGCACTCATTTTCTTTACAGACTGCCTTCATTGTAGGGATACCATTATAGTTTTAAATGGTTTTTATTCCTGGTGGCCAACACATGGAAACTGAAGTGTCCTTTGGCAGATGATTGGATAAAGAAGATGTGGTCATATACACAATGGATGAGTAAGAAAAGGTGAAATACTGCCGTCCGAGACAGCGTGGATGGACCTTGAGAGTATTAGGCTAAGCAAAATAGATCAGACAGGGAAAGTTATGAACCATATGATTTCCCTCATATGTGGGATATAAAACTGAAAGCAACAAATGAACAAATAAGAAAAACAAACAAAAATTCACAGACACAGACAACAGTGTGGTGGTTACCAGAGGGAAGGGGGTGGTAAAGGGGAAAGGGGGTCAAATATATGGCGACAGAAAAAGATTTGACTTTGGGTGGTGGGCGCACAATACAATATACAGATCATGGATCATAGAAATATACACTTGAAACCTATAAAATCTTATTAACTAAATGTTGCCCCAATAAATTGAGTAAAAACATAAATGACAGGGTCGTTTCCCTGATGGCTACACTGTAGCTTGCATTAAGGCCCCTTGGTGGAACCTGCAAGCTTCCTGAGTGATCCCTTCCCGCACTCACCCGCACCCCTCCCGCCTGGGAAATGAGGGTCAGACTGAGCTCAAACGATCCTAACAGAGGAGCACCGACAGATACTGTTTCAACACAGGCAGCCTTGTGCAAATCAGGTTTCTGGTGGAGCCTTTTTTCTTTCTGATATTTTTTGATTCTGTGGCTTATTCAGCCCTGGAGAAAGCCTGACTATTTTTTGAATGCAGGGGAATAACGAGAAGTCTTTCTGAATTTTAGGCTTTGACCTAGGCAAAAGTTTAACCCAGAAGAAGTTTGGAATATGGGTCTATCATCTCTGTTTCTCCTGTTTTTTTTCCCCCTACTTTCCCATTTTAGAAGCTCAGAGCTCACATATTCTGCTCCTGTTTTCTTAACACCAATTCTCCAGGGAAAAATAAATCCAATAAACGCATGCAAAAACTTAAGTCCAACATCTGTGAAGATTTTAGCAGTTTTCATTTCCCATGTTATGTACAAAAGGGCACGTGACCAGATGGCACACACACCGAATTTACTGGCGTGGCATTTACTGGGGGAAACTTGTAGATCTGGATCAATCACGGGGCGTGCAGGCCCCTTTTGCTCATTGTAACTACAATGGGATTCAGAGATCTAGAATACTCCATTCCAAGAGGGCACCCCGACCTTTGAACTGTGAGTTTTCTTTTAACTATGTGATTAGGGAAGTGCTAACCCCTCCCTTAATGCAATCGGGGCTGGGATATAATTATCAAGAAGAAGAAAACTTGGCTCTAGCCCTATTTCCAGGCTCAGAGTTAGTGGCTGGGGAAAAGGGGCACCAGCTCTTCTCCTGGTGTGACTGGGGTCTGCGGTTCCAGCTTTGCAGCTGCAGTTGTAGCAAATGCTAAGCCGATAGCAGGATTCTCTACATCAGCCATGGGACAGAGTAAATTGCCTTAAGCACCGGGCAACAGCTGCTCCCTTTCCATGGAGGTTAGCAGGAGGCAACTTCCTCTATTAGTTTTGAACAAAGTAACCCTTATGTCTAACATGTCTTTTGTTTTTTTGGGGTGTGTGTGTGGCTTTCTTAATTACTCTGTAGGGGAACCATAAAAGGATTATGGCTTCTATTTCATATGCGAGGAGATACAGACTCAAAGAGGTTAAATCCCAAACCAGTGAGTGACAGGGTCAGGACAAGATTCCATGATTTTTAGCTCCTATTTTACTGTTATTTCACCATTTTAGAGGACCTCCAGTATAAATGTGTCTAAAATGTCACGTTTCCAGGGGAAAAGTTAATCAGATTTATAAAATGAGTATAGATATCACCACAGGACCACTATAGACATCACCACGTCATCTGAGGGGGAGGAGGTGAGGCCTTCCTAGTGCCCCTCAACCATACCATTTTTCTTTTTTCATTTTTATACAGCTATTTTATTTTTTATAATAAGAATAGTTAAAAGGCATATTCATACTTCAAGAGCAGACAGAACTTAATGTATTTGCAAATGTGGTCATAAAATGGCATCAACTGGCCACTGAAAGTGAAATGTTGCAATGTCATTTCATGGCTGTAGTTAAAAAAAGAGAGGTGAGCCCTCTCAAATAAGCTGAAGTGAGAAGGGCAGAGCAGGCAGTTTAGTTGTAGAGTTATTTTACTCCTTCCTGACTTTTGTGATCTGCAATATTCAGCTCCCCATCGTTATCCATAACCCCAGGCAATTCACCCCTCATCCATTCATACAAAATCAAGATAAATGAAGTAAAATAAAAAGAAATTTTAAAAAAAGAGAAGATAAACTGTGAAGTAACAATAAAGGCCGGGGAGGCATGTAAAAGGATACAGGCACTCATTTCCTTGCATTTTGGGATGTTATAATTCTATCTGCTGGACACTGATATATCATTACTTTCATCATTTAAGAAATTTCACCAATTTGATATTATTTCATTTCTACCACTGCCTTCCTGACCCTTCCAGTTGTTTTCGTAGCCTAACGGATAATTGATTCAATGAGTTATGTCCTAGGGACTCACTAAAGGGAATAGTTGAATTCTGTCCCATGTTCACCTGTTTCCTCCTGTACTCTGAAGGAAAGGGAAAAACTGTGAAGTCTAGCCTTCTATTTCTTGAAATAATGTATTGCTCACATTCACTGGCCTCAGAGCTATCATGGAGTAGAGTGGGATCTACACAATCACATTTTTTTATTGATCTGAACTCACTGAATCTTGGAGCAGAAAGAGACTTGAGGGTTTCTCTAACCTCTTCGTCAACCAGCAGTAACAGCCCCTCTCTTCCACCTTCTTGCTAGTTGGTTATCTAGGTTCTGCTGGAATAATCCATGACAAAGAGCTCACTGAAAAGCACGCAGCTTTCATTTTTAGAAGTTGTAATAAACTTCCTTGTTCTCTCTTACATTCCTGGGCCACTTTGCCATCTAGATTTATCCCCCTGGTCTTCCCTCTGCCTCAGGGAAGAGAGGTTAACGCTGCTGATGTGCCCGTCATATGCACACTGTTAGGATTTGGAACACGCACTGTCCTTCCTACTCTGCCAACAGCTACAGAAGGAGAGACTGAGCCACACGAAGGCGGCGAGTGGCTGTGCCGGGCAGATTTGTGTTCTTTCAACTACATTATGCTGATGGCTCAAAATAAGTCTACACAGCAGCACTTAAGACGATTTGAGGAAGGTACTCACGTATTCTTCGAGTCTTCTCTATTTCCACTAAGCACTCTTGGTTTCTCCAACCGATAATGACCTAATTTCCAGGGTGCTCAGCATCCTGGTTCCTTCTTGTGACTGTTTATATCTTTCTGAAGATGTGATCTTACTAAAACCGAACTCAACACTCCTCATGCTGTGTGACTGACACAGTGCACAGTAGTATTATTGTAATCTCTACAAATTCATGCTGACTTAAATTGGCGTTGGCAGTAACTTTATACTTTTACTTATATTGAATTTTCATTTTACCAAAGCCCTTAGAGTCTGTTCACAAGAATTTCTTTAAAACCAGATTGGCCCCATCTGATGCCTGTGTCACTGAAGTTTTAAAGTGAGGGAAGTTAACGACTGAATTTCACTGAGCGTTTCAGTCTATTAAGATCTTAAGACTTTCAAGCATTAGCTTTCTTTTTTATTTTTATTGCCTATAATTTGATAAAATTTCTTGTGTGTTTCACATAAGTCTTTGATTAAAATATTATATAGAACATAAGAAAATGCTTTTTTAGATCACTCAAAACTTTTTCTACATTAACATCTATTATTATCGACACTTGTAGATAGATGGCTAAGCTAAAAATAAATAATACAGGGTGATGAAAATGACTTTGAATCTCTGGAAAAGATTCTGGCAAAAATTATTAAACAGATAGTCTATGAAAAATTTTTAGAAACAGCTTTTGGACTTTAATTTGGTAACCTTGTTCAAATTCAGTTTTTAAAAACACCATTAGTTCTTTAAAGACACCATTTGTGGTTTTGAAAACATATCTGTAAATCTTCTCTGGACCCTGGGATATAATTTGCCTATGCCTAAAAATTTAAGCTTATTTAAAATATTTGAGTGTTGCTTTACTTTATTTTCACGTCAATCCCTCCCTTTTTTCAGGTGAAATTATTTTAATAATGTATATTGTTTAACCCAGTCTATCCAAAATAATGTCATTTCAACATGAAATGAATTTTAAAAGTTACTAATGTCTTATTTTACATTTTTTAATACTAGGTCTACAATATCTGGTATGTGTTTTATACTTACAGCACATACCAATTCCGACTGCCCCCATTTCAAGGCTTCTCCTTTTGGAAAGGAGATCTTCCTGTGGGGCTGTCCCTACTCAAATAGATGGGTTGCACCACCTTCTCTCTCCAGAGGGCAGGAGAGGGCCCAGTCTATTCCTTTCATCTCATAAACTTTGCCAGGAAGGAGACTCTCTCACCACAATGCTATCAGCCAGTGCTGGAAAGAACTTCTTGTTTAGATATCAGTCCAGCAAAAAGCTCACTTGGTTCCTTAGAGAAACTTATTCATTCTTTATAATCACTTTATTTCACTTGGCTCTTTGTATGCTTGTCTCTTTCTCTCTCTCTCTCCATTTATTTATTTTTATTAGTGTTATGTCTAAGATGACAACATGACTTGGGATTTCTTACCCTGGAAAATTTAAGAACTGGCTATAACACTACCCATCAGATATAGTTTCAGTACTTGTATAATTAAAGAACAGTATTTCATAACATTTTCAGTAAAATACTTTGAAATAACAGCATTAACTTTTCGATCATTGTCCACCAGGACCTTTAGTTCATGTTCTATTAACTATCACTTTGCTACCATTTATTGAACACTTACGTGGTAGGTACAATCTTTTCAAGCTTATCTTTTAAACTTCTTTTGGTTTTATAGCTGATTGCTGGCCTAACCTATTTTAAAAAGTCAGTGCCTACTGTATTCTTGTTTAATTTTCAATGCAACAGATGCTTTAGAATGTATATTTATGTTCCTGCATGTTCAAATATCTTAACAATTAGAAATATTCTTCTCTGTAAAATTAAGGGGCATTTTAAGAAGTGAATATGAAATCTCAGTGTAAATTGTGGGAATTAACCTTTTATCACCTCCACATTTCTGGATGAAGGTTGTTAATTTAAATGTGAAAAGTATAATTTTCCTTTTGCTTTTCAAATTAGCATAGATAAATAATCATGATACCAGTGGTGGTGAAGGTGCAATGAAATGACATTCAAAACTGTTGCAGGGGATATAAACTCATACTTTTTTTTTTTTCCTGGCAGGCAATTTGGAAATACTTAGATCTTTAAAATATTCACACCCATTAGATAACAATCAGAAGTGTAGAAAAAATTAATAATAAGCAAGTTCCTTATAACAGTGCACAAGGATTTCTGGCACAATGTTAAAATACAGGTTTTGACTCAAAAGGAATGGATGGGGCTTGATTCTAAATTTCTAATAAGTAATAGGTATTGCTGATTTTTTGAGTAGTGAAGCTTTATAAAGTTCTTTATACTTAACAGAGTTCTTTGTAGCAAGGTTTTATGTAGTTCTTTATATACATTTGTGTCAAAAAAGTTTAAATAATACACAGAAATTAAAAAAAAATTCCTGAAAAGAAATAAAACTTAAAATTAATAGTAGTAAGTGTTTCAAGGTCAGGTGATAGGTTATCTAATTTTCTTCTCCATACATGTCTATATTTCCCAAAATTTCTGTGAGGAACATATATTACTTCTATAATCTGAAAAACTAATCATATAAAATACCGTTTTCAAAGGCACTTCCTCTTCAGGATCCCCTACCTTCCCGAAGCATTCTGTGTGACTCTGCCGGTCCTGGGATGGCCCGAGGTGCTAGGGAGCCCACCCCTCGGGCCTGTTTGACTTACCACCAGGGTGTCACCTCCCCTTCATTTGCTACTTGGTTTTCAAGCCCATGAAGCCAGCCTCTGTGCCAGGGCTGAGGAGACAGGGAACATTTCCAGCAGGGCACCCTGAGGCCTGTATTTGACTTTTGGGTGACCGAGACCATTTCATGAACTCAGGGCGGGGATCAGACGGTGAGCTGGAAAACTGGAATGCAACGGCCATGGCCTCCGGGAGAGGATTCCTGCTGTTACTTCTTTCCGCCGGAAGGAGCCGTGTCTCATCCTCAGTTTACTTTTCTTCCCTGAAAGAGACAAAAGGAAAGTGACGGCAGTTTCCAATTTGGTTTTACTTTTCTTCAGTACCTTTTATTTGAAGGAGCGCCCTGAAGTTTGGAATAAAGGTCACAAACCCCATGGCCACAGTAGAAAGGATGCAATGAAGATAATATAAGAATTCTTTCTTTCTTGCCTTTTCGGGCAACAACATTTGAGTGTAATGGTTTCTTTTCAGTTAGAGAGGTAGGAGGGTGCTCCC